CCCCCCTTGAAATTTGGTAATTGATGAAATATAGAAATATCTTTGGTTTTGAAAGTGTAAGATGAATGGATTATTGGCAAAAAGTGGAAAGTTCAATGTCTTACATTTTCATGGTGTGAACAAATACATGAAAATCGGTCATTCTTTCTTTCCTCATAATCCTGATGACTTTCTTCAAATTCCTGCATATATATATATAAACAACATGGGAGACAATTCCTATAATTGCAAATAATTTTTGTAAAGGTTATAAAGGATATATATGAAGTGTATATATTCCCTCAGCTTAAGTTGGTTGAATATATACAAGATTTTTTCTTCTTTCACCTCATTTCAGGAATAGGTCTCACCTGTCCCGGGTATTAGTGACAGTACAAATGTTGCACCTTACCTTTCCATATTTTCATACAGTTAGATATATAATTAATGCATCAAATGTATTTTTAGTATGTCAGATTGGCATAGGATGGGCCGTTGTTCCGCCTTGTGGTTTTCTTGTTAAATTATTGTGTTATTGACCATATCAATCAATTCATAAATCAATCAGTCTTGTACATAATCATTCTATTGTATAATTGTTTCAGTTTTAAAAGTGTTCCCATTGTTATCTTTAAGAGCTATGGGAAACACAAGTAAGTATACTCTTATGCCCTCACCATATACGATAACGCAATTACTAAATCACAGTATACGTACATGTAATTATAAATCATCATATGGATGCTATCAAAATTATAAAATACAGTATTGTAACTTATGAACTACATTATCAGTGACAGTATGTAAACTATAAATAACCATACTCAAGTGATAAGTAGCTTGTTCCCTGTATTATTCACACATCCTTTTGCAAACAGATTTACAGTATGATTGTGTTTTGACTGAATTGTGAATGTGATTAGTTTTAAACTGGAAATGTGTAGAGTACTTCTTGTATTTGTCATTAAATTTGAAAATAAACCCAGTCAGTCTTTTTGCATTAGTAGTGGCTGAAAGCTAATTTTTAATCACATGCAAGTTGTGTTTTGCAGGAGGTGAGTAATAAATCTGTCGTGATGATGAGTAAAACTTATTTTTATTCCAGATTTCATTTCACTAAAAGGTTTTATTTGTCACTATCTTTTCCGTCATACATTCTTTACTTTAAAGAGGTAAGAATTCCCACCTTAAATCTACTGGTATATATATAGAATCGCTAAGACATGAAGAACCAGATATAATCATGCTACCATGGTTGATTCCTGTGTCCAGCCTGGCCCCTGATGGCTTCCTGTGTCAGAACATAGAGACAATTGGGATTCCAAACATATAACCATATATTGTTCACAAGAATATTTTCATTTGATCTATACAGACTGTATATGCTGTAGAGAAGCAGTTATTTAATTACAACCATAGCCCGATTGTTAAGGGACGGAAGGATGATGTACATATTAACAGATTAAGTATCACGTTACTTTCTATAAACCGTTACGACACAAAAGTATAATGAACTGAAAAAAATCTTTAAATTTCTTCTACTTTCAAATTTGATTAAAAGTGTTTTGTGTAGATCCATATTTGTTTTTGTTAGCAGCTAGCAGTTCTTCAGATGAGCCATCTACCACTCCTGTCACAGTCAGGATAGTAAGGAAAGCTATGTCATCAGCAAACTCTAGCTCCACCAGAAAGTTCAGGACAATTGGCAATATTAAAGTCAGCGTAATAAATGAAAGTTTTGCTCAGCAGAAGGTAAAAATACTTGTTAAATGCTTATATTTGGTACAGAAAATCAATTATCACAATAACAATTTCCATACTATATTCAAGTATCAATATCTGAAACATTGGGCAAGACTAGCTGGTTGTCAAGTAAATATTTAACACTGGACAGATTATGTGTTACCTGTACCTGATAATGTGGTCAAGCAGTAATTGGGCACAACATTTTGGGCCATTTTCAAGTTTTTCAATGGTTTATTTTTGGGTCCATTTAGAGAAAAGAGTTGTTGTTATAATGGTTAACAAATGGGCCCAGGTAACGAAAACATTGTTAATTACAGTGGTTAACTAACAGGCATAGATGGGGAAAGAGTTAATAATTATAGTGGTTAACTAATAGGCCAAGATGGGGAAAGATTTGTTAATTATAGTGGTTCACTAACAGGCCAAGATGGAGAAAGAGTTGTTAATTACCGTGGTTAACTAACGGGCATAGATGGGGAAAGAGTTAATAATTATAGTGGTTCACTAACAGGCCAAGATGGGGAAAGATTTGTTAATAATAATGGTTAAATAACATGCCAAGATGGGGAAAGAGTTGTTTATTATAGTGGTTAAGTAACAGGTCAAGATGGGAAAGAGTTGTTTATTTCAGTGTTTAACTAACAGGCCAAGATGGGGGTAGAGTTGTTAATTGTAATGGTAAACTAACAGGCCAAGATGGGTAAATAGTTGTTTATTTCAGTGGCTTAGTAACAAACCAAGATGGGAAAGAGTTGTTAATTATAATAGTTAACTAACAGGCCAAGTTGGGGAAAGAGTTGTTAATTATAGTGGTTAACTAACAGGCCAAGATGGGGAAAGAGTTGTTAATTATAATGGTTAACTAACAGGCCAAGATGGGTAAATAGTTGTTAATTTCAGTGGTTTAGTAACAAACCAAGATGGGAAAGAGTTGTTAATTATAATAGTTAACTAACAGGCCAAGTTGGGGAAATAGTTGTTAATTATAGTGGTTAACTAACAGGCCAAGTTGGGGATAGAGTTGTTAATTATAATGGTTAACTAACAGGCCAAGATGGGTAAATAGTTGTTCATTTCAGTGGTTAAGTAACAAACCAAGATGGGAAAGAGTTGTTAATTATAATGGGTAACTAACAGACTAAGTTTGGGAAAGAGTTGTTTATTTCAGTGGTTAAGTAACATGTCAAGATGGGAAAAAGTTGTGTATTTCAGTGGTTAAGTAACAGGCCAAGATGGGAAAGAGTTGTTTATTTCAGTGGTTAAGTAACAGGTCATGATGGAAAAGAGTTGTTTATTTCAGTGTTTAAGTAACAGAGTTGTTAATTACAGTGGTTAAGTAACAGGCCAAGATGGGGAAAGAGTTGTTTATTACAGTGGTTAAGTAACAGGCCAAGATGGGGAAAGAGTTGTTTATTATAGTGTTTAACTAACAGGCCAAGATGGGGAAGAGTTGTTAATTATTATGGTTAACTAACAGGCCAAGAAGGGAAAAGAGTTGTTTATTTCAGTGGTTAAAAAACAGGTCAAGATGGGAAAGAGTTGTTTATTTCAGTGGTTAAGTAACAGGCCAAGAAGTGGATAGAGTTGTTAATCATAATGGTTAACTAACAGGCTAAGATGGTTTAAGAGTTGTTAATTATTGTGATTAACTGACATGTCAAGATTGGGAAAGAGTTGTTAATTATTGTGATTAACTAACAGGCTAAGATGGGGAAAGAGTTGTTTATTTCTGTGGTTAAGTAACAGGTCAAGATGGGAAAGAGTTGTTTATTTCTGTGGTTAAGTAACAGGCCAGGATGGGAAAGAGTTGTTTATTACAGTGGTTAAGTAACAGGCCAGGATGGGAAAGAGTTGTTAATTATAATAGTTAACTAACAGGCTAAGATAGGAAAGAGTTGTTAATAATAATGGTTAACTAACAGGCTAAGATGGGGAAAGAGTTGTTTATTTCAGTGGTTAAGTAACAGGTCAAGATGTGGAAAGAGTTGTTTATTATAGTGTTAAACTAACTGGCCAAGATGGGGAAAGAGTTGTTAATTATAATGGTTAACTAACAGGCCAAGATGGGGAAAAGAGTTGTTAACTATTGTGATTAACTGACATGTCAAGATTGGGAAAGAGTTGTTAGCTATAGTGGTTAACTAGCAGGCCAAGATAAGGAAAGAGTTGTTAATTATAGTGGTTAAGTAACAGGCAAAGATGGGGATAGAGTTGTTAATTATAATAGTTAACTAACAAGCCAAGTTTGGGAAAGAGTTGTTAATTATCTTTGTTAAAAAATGATAGATAATTGTATTAAGCTCCTGTCTCTGTCTGATGTTTTATGGTAATTAAGGTATCTCCCTGGTGATCAATTTTACAGGCAGATGTCATTGTGAACTGTGCCTCAGCTGACCTTGACCTCTCCAGAGGTCGTGGTTCTAAAGCCCTTGCTCAGACTGCAGGACCAGATGTACAGGCAGATTTGAAGAACAACTACAGCACAAACATCAGTGAAGGTGACGTGGCAGTTTCTGTCCCTGGCAATCTGAAGTGTCGTAAGGTCTACCATGTGTACCTAACAAAATGGAATCAAGACACACAGGTAAATACTATGGGGTCAAATTCACAACTAAGAATAGGTTTTGTTTGGTTATTGTATAGTTCATTATGAGACATGGTGCAATAGAAATATAGGTATGGTAGAAATATATGATAAGATACAAGCTACTATACAGTTCTGGCCAGGTTTGAGTCACTTTGAATACAGTGCTTGTATTTAGAAGTTATTTTCAGACTTAATTTTGTATTTGCTTCATTTCTATATATTTTTTTCCATTTTAGGGTCTGCTGAAGGTCATAACCAACTGTTTATTGCTGGCAGACAAGTTCAAAGTCCAAAGCATTGTGTTTCCCAGTCTTGGGACGGGTTACCTTGGTTACCCACACAGTGAGGTAACCAAAACAGCCTTGGCAGCTATAGAAGCATTCACCCAGACACATGGCTCCTCGTCAATTGATACCATCATATTTTCTGTATATGACCTTCCTTCCTACAAGGTGAGTTATTAAGGAAATAAAGCCATATGTTGTCATATTTCTAAATCACTTACTATATAACTTGTGTGATTTGTGTAGTTTTTAGAGTCAAGGTTTTGACTCTATTGAGATTACAGGATTCTCCAAATTTGAAAGGAACTTTTTTTCAAGATTGCCTTGCTGAAAATTTTAACTTTAACCCACAAATAGGCAACAGCCCAAGTAATGAACCTGTTTTCCATTGAAACCTGTTTTTTGGATGGAAAACACGTTTAATTTTTTAATAAATTAATTAATTATCACGTATGACTACTTTTTCTGTAATAAGACTGCTGAAATATGTTTTTTCTGCTTGACGTACATATTTATTATATACACTTTTGGTTTTTACACCAATTTTATTTGATATTCTTAGTAATAAAATAAATCATGAAATGGCACTGTATTACGGTATAGTCATTTCGGGTAATGATGCATACATACAGTACACTTGTAACTAAAAATAGATTTTTTTACTTTCGATTCCGGTATCGCCTTGACATGGAACAAAATAAGGTTGGGCCTGTGTATTCAGTAGAAAAGCAGTGTTACTATTTTTATTGGTAATTCTTTTGTCTAGATATATCGGTTTTAATCTAGAATAAAAAAAAAAACACATATGATAGATTACAATATGACTAGCATTGCCTGTCAGAAATTTCCGAAAGTAACGCCTACTCTTCATGATTTGGACAACTTTACGCTAAGTCACACACAGATTCACAGTGATTTTTGATTATTTTAAGAGAAAAGTTGTATGTTTCATGACTTCTTAATGGAAGTTTACATACCAAATGGTAAATAGGAAGTTTTTTTTAAAACAAAAAAAAGTAAACTACCAGGTATTTAATCACAAATTTTGAAATCTAGACTTGCACAAGTCCACAAAAAAACTTGCTTACAACAATGAAACATGAAGGCAGGTCCTACACATCGAGTGAAGAAATGACTGGTGGCCCCATGGGTTAATGGTGTGACTCTACACTTCTGAAGCCATTTGTGTGTGGCTCCTGACATGCTGATGTGAATTCCAAAAAGTTTTATTTCAAATGTATCAAAAATAAGAAATATCTTTTTAATGCTAAGACCCAGAGTGGTAACTTTCAAATAAATCAATAACACAGGTTTTTACGGTAAAACGAGATGCAAAGAAAACAGCTAAGTTTCTTCTTGAAATTAAAATTACTAATTTAATAAATTGGATTCATTTAAAGTTGTGAATGTTGCTGTGGGTAATTATCTTTGTTAAATCATGTTTCTGTTCTATTTTGTTTTAAGGTGTTTTTTCAAGAAATCAGAAAATACAATCCTGGATCCAGTTCCTCAGGTCAACAGTCTGCAGCATCAGGTAACGTCGGTACATCAATCATCTACCGTACAGTATCTAGGGTATAGCTACAACAGTCTGAAGCATCAGGTAACGTCGGTACCTCAATATATATTGCAGACCAAATCTAATTAATACACTATTCTATGGGAGTTATCCCCCTTCCCCCACCCACATCATATTTTATATAATAACCTCTTAATTATGTAAATATCTAATTAGATTTACAAATGTTAATTTTTGACAGTAAGCAAAATCTTATTATTATAAATTCAATCCATTATGTCCATATACCTACCATCAATGGAGAGGACTTATATAGGCTATAAGCCTGTTGTCCAATCCTTTTGACAGTGTAACATTCTTCTATGTCAATAAAATATGTTGAAATGAAAAAAATGCAGCATCAGGTAACGCCGGTACATCAATCATCTACTGTACAGTATCTAGAGTATAGCTACAACAGTCTGAAGCATCAGGTAACTTCGGTACATCAATCATCTACTGTACAGTATCTAGGATATAGCTACACCAGTCTGCAGCATCAGGTAACGCCGGTACATCAATCATTTACTGTACAGTATCTAGAGTATAGCTACAACAGTCTGAACCATCAGGTAACTTCGGTACATCAATCATCTACTGTACAGTATCTAGAGTATAGCTACAACAGTCTGAAGCATCAGGTAACGTCGGTACATCAATCATCTACTGTACAGTATCTAGGGTAAAGCTACAACAGTCTGAAGTATCAGGTAACATCGGTACATCAATCATCTACTGTACAGTATCTAGGCTATAGCTACACCAGTCTGCAGCATCAGGTAACGCCGGTACATCAATCATTTACTGTACAGTATCTAGAGTATAGCTACAACAGTCTGAAGCATCAGGTAACTTCGGTACATCAATCATCTACTGTACAGTATCTAGGGTATAGCTACAACAGTCTGAAGCATCAGGTAACGCCGGTTCATCAATCATCTACAGTACAGTATCTAGGGTATAGCTACACCAGTCTGCAGCATCAGGTAACGCCGGTACATCAATCATCTACTGTACAGTATCTAGGTTAAAGCTACACCAGTCTGAAGCATCAGGTAACACCGGTACATCAATCATCTACTGTACAGTATCTAGGGTAAAGCTACACCAGTCTGCAGCATCAGGTAATGTCGGTACATCAATCATCTGCTGTACAGTACCTAGGGTATAGCTACACCAGTCTGAAGCATCAGGTAAAGTCGGTACATCAATCATCTACTGTACAGTATCTAGGGTATAGCTACACCAGTCTGAAGCATCAGGTAATGTCAGAACATCAATCATCTACTGTACAGTATCTAGGGTATAGCTAATCCAGTCTGCAGCATCAGGTAACGCCGGTACTTCAATCATCTACTGTACAGTATCTAAGTTATAGCTACACCAGTCTGCGGCATCAGGTAACGCCGGTACATCAATCATCAACTGTACAGTATCTAGGGTATAGCTACACCAGTCTGCAGCATCAGGTAATGTCAGTACATCAATCATCTACTGTACAGTATCTAGGGTATAGCTACACCAGTCTGCAGCATCAGGTAACATCGGTACATCAATCATCTACTGTAAAGTATCTAGGGTAAAGCTACACCAGTCTGCAGCATCAGGTAACACCGGTACATCAATCATCTACTGTACAGTATCTAGGGTATAGCTACCCCAGTCTGCAGCATCAGGTAACGCCGGTACATCAATTATCTCCTGTACAGTATCTAGGGTATAGCTACACCTGTCGGAAGCATCAGGTAACGTCGGTACATCAATCATCTACTGTAAAGTATCTAGGGTAAATCTACACCAGTCTGCAGCATCAGGTAACACCGGTACATCAATCATCTACTGTACATTATCTAGGGTATAGCTACACCAGTCTGCAGCATCACGGAACGTGGGTACATCAATCATCTACTGTACAGTATCTAGGGGATAGCTACACCTGTCTGAAGCATCAGGTAACGTCGGTACATCAATCATCTACTGTAAAGTATCTAGGGTAAACCTACACCAGTCTGCAGCATCAGGTAACACCGGTACATCAATCATCTACTGTACATTATCTAGGGTATAGCTACACCAGTCTGCAGCATCAGGTAACATCGGTACATCAATCATCTACTGAACAGTATCTAGGGTATAGCTACACCAGTCTGCAGCATCAGGTAACGTGGGTACATCAATCATCTACTGTACAGTATCTAGGGTATAGCTACTCCAGTCTGCAGCATCAGGTAACGCCGGTACATCAATTATCTACTGTACAGTATCTAGGGTATAGCTACACCTGTCTGAAGCATCAGGTAACGTCGGTACATCAATCATCTACTGTACAGTATCTAGGTTATAGCTACACCAGTCTGAAGCATCAGGTAACGTCGGTACAGCAATCATCTACTGTACAGTATCTAGGGTATAGCTACACCAGTCTGCAGCATCAGGTAACATCGGTACATCAATTATTTACTGTACAGTATCTAGGGTATAGCTACAACAGTCTGCAGCATCAGGTAACGCCAGTACATCAATCATCTACTGTACAGTATCTAGGGTATAGCTACACCAGTCTGCAGCATCAGGTAACATCGGTACATCAATCATCTACTGTACAGTATCTAAGTTATAGCTACACCAGTCTGAAGCATCAGGTAATGCCGGTACATCAATCATCTACTGTACAGTATCTAGGGTATAGCTACACCAGTCTGCAGCATCAGGTAACATCGGTACATCAATCATCTACTGTACAGTATCTAAGTTATAGCTACACCAGTCTGCAGCACCCTGCAATCCTTAATGAATAGATGGCAGAGAAAAAAAACACAATTTGAGTAACACATAGTAATGGTACTATGCCTCAGTTAATACTAAGTGATGTCCACTAATATATTATATAAACTATGTTACAGCAACAGGGAACAGTACTAGCACCTGTGTGTCTGTGCAGATTGGTTCAACTGTTGTAGATGTTGTGATGGGGGCACTACCACAACAACAGGTGGGTAATACAAAACAAGAGGTGGGTAATATTAAACAACAGTGGTATAATACCACAAAACACAGTGGTATAATACCACACAACAACAGGTGTGTAATATTAAACAACAGTGATATAATACCACACAACAACAGGTGTGTAATATTAAACAACAGTGGTATAATACCACACAACAACAGGTGGGTAATATTAAACAACAGTGGTATAATATAACACAACAACAGGTGGGTAATATTAAACAACAGTGGTATAATATCACACAACAATAGGTGGGTAATATTAAACAACACAGGTATAATACCTCACAACAACAGGTGGGTAATATTAAACAACAGTGGAATAACACCACAAAACAACAGGTTCGTAATAATACACAACAGTGGTATATATGACACAGCAACAGGTGGGTAATATTAAACAACAGTAGTATAATACCACACAACAACAGGTGGGTAATATTAAACAACAGTGATATAATACCACACAACAACAGGTGGGTAATATTAAACAACAGTGGTATAATACCACAAAACAACAGGTTGGTAATAATACACAACAGTGGTATATATGACACAGCAACAGGTGGGTAATATTAAACAACAGTGATATAATACCACACATTAACAGGTGGGTAATATTAAACAACAGTGGTATAATACCACACAACAACAGGTTGGTAATATAACAAACCAAAGGGTTGGTAATATAACACTACAAAAGGTGGATAATATCACAAAAGATAGGGGGTTATACAACACAAAGGTTGGGTAATAAAACACAACAAAGAATAATTCATTTATCACAACAACAGGTGAGTAATACAATACACAGAAGGTGGGTAACATAATACCACAACAGGTGGGTAATACAACACAAAAAAGTGTGGGTAATACAACACCACAACAGGTTGGCAATACAACACAACAAAGAGGCGGTAATACAACACAACAAAGGGTTAGTAATATAACACCGCAACAGGTCGGTAATACAACACAACAAAGGGTGGGTAATACAACACTGCAACAGGTCGGTAATACAGCACAACAAAGGGTGGGTAATACAACACCGCAACAGGTTGGTTATACAACACAACAAAGGGTTAGTAATGTAACACCACAACAGGTTGGTAATACAACTCAAAAAAGAGATGGTAATACAACACAACAAAGGGTTAGTAATGTAACACCACAACAGGTCGGTAATACAACTCAAAAAAGAGATGGTTATACAACACAACAAAGGGTGGGTAATACAACACTGCAACAGGTCGGTAATACAACACAACAAAGGATGGGTAATACAACACCCCAACAGGTCGGTTATACAACATAACAAAGGGTGGGTAATACAACACCGAAACAGGTCGGTAATACAACACAACAAAGGGTGGGTAATACAACACCGCAACAGGTCGGTAATACCACACAACAAAGGGTAGGTAATACAACACCGCAACAGGTCGGTTATACAACACAACAAAGGGTGGGTAATACAACACTGCAAATGGTCGGTAATACAACACCGAAACAGGTCGGTTATACAACACAACAAAGGGTGGGTAATACAACACAACAAAGGGTGGGTAATACAACACTGCAAATGGTCGGTAATACAACACTGCAACAGGTCGGTAATACAACACAACAAAGGGTGGGTAATAAACAACCACAACAGATCGGTAATACAACTCAACAAAGAGTCGGTAATACAACACAACAGTGGGTTAGTAATACAAAACAACAAAGGGTTGGTAATACAACACAACAAAGGGTTGGTAATACTACACAACAAAGAGTCGATAATACAACACAACAAAGGATGGGTAATACAACACCACAACATGTCGATAATATAACACAACAAAGAGATGGTAATACAACACAACAAAGGGTTGGTAATGTAACACCACACCAGGTCAGTAATACATCACAACTAAGAGTCGGTAATACAACACAACAAAGGATGGGTAATACAACACATCAAAGAGTCGGTAATACAACACAACAATGGGTTGGTTATATTACACAACAGATTGGTAATATGTAATGTTTTATAATCTTTCAGTAGTTTTATATTTCATTTTTAGGTGGATGTTATAGTGAATAGTGCACCATTTGACCTTGACCTGTCAAATGGGGGCCTGTCTGAGGCCCTGCTCAAGGTCGCGGGTCAAGGCCTCCAGGAAGAGTGCATTGAACATTACCCCAATGGCATCTCAACTGGAGAGATACTGACCACTAAAGGGTATGACTTACCTTGTAGTTATGTCTACCATGGATGTCTTCCGGACTGGTCAAAAACTGACCATACAGATGCAAAAGAGGTTAGTTGATTACAAGTTAAGAGTCAAAGGAATTATTTTTTCAATATTTTGTTGCTGAAAATTCGAGCTTTCACTTACAAACAGACAACAGCCACAGTAGTACAGCTATTGGACATTTGGCATACTGTCCAGCGAAACCTGTGTTTTGAATGGAAAAGTTTTTATTTCATTTTTGATAAATCAATGAACCTTCATGCACACATGACTACTTCTTCTGCTATGAGACCGTTAAGAAACATATAGCCCTGCTACTGGAAATACATTTTGTTTCTCCTCGACGTACGTTTTGAATATATTTGTTTTGGTTTCTTTATAAATAAAAAATATATTTGATATTCCTAGTGATAAAAGAATTCATGAAATTGGGCATTTGTATGTTTCATGAATTCCTAAGGAATATTATTTATTTAACAGTAATTAAGTAGAAAAATAGTTTTCTTCTAAATAAAAAAGTAACTACCGGGATATACCTACATCGAGTGAAGAAATGACTGGTGGCCATGGTTCCATGGGTTAATGGTGTGGCTCCACACTTCTAATGTCATTTTTGTGATGGCTTCTGACATGCTGATATGGATTCCCAAGTTTTATTTCAAATTGGATTAAAAGTTTAAAAAAATAATTCTTAGACCCATAGTAATACAGGCCCACACCAATCAATATTCCTATACAGACCCACATCAATCAATATTCCTATACAGGCCCACATCAATCAATATTCCTATACAGGCCCACACCAATCAATATTCCTACCAGAAAAGTTATACATGTACTTGAAAATGGCTAGGTAGAAGTAGGGGTATATCTCAATAGTTATGATCAAGTTAAACATTGTGACTGAAGGAATCAGCCTCAAAAAGTGTGAACTTAGAATAGCATGTCAATATACTACCTAATTAAGCTTATGAATTAAATAACTGTTAAGTGAACAGTACAAGACTCTCAGTCCTTTCAAGACTTTTATTTTATTTTCATGCTTTATGTTTTTGAGTCAGCTTGCATTTCATGGGCCATTTGCAATAGAACTTAATGAAAAATCAATTGAAAAAAGATTGATTGGGTTTGAAGTCAGGTGTTACTACTTTATAATAATTAAAGGACAGGTATCAGCCTATGAATTGGTCAGTTTTTATTATCTGAAACCAATCAAATCACTTACTTTGTGCCTTCAATTTTGTCATGGTATATATTAAGGGGTGTAGAGAATGTGAAGATAACCCCTGGAATTTCAAGGATTCAGACTTAGGAGATTCTGTTATAAGATGAGAAATGGTGTGTCCGTTGTTTTACAGAACCTGTATGCATTTATGATGGGCTGTTTGGAAATAGCCACCAGCTACTGTGTGAATTCCATTGCCTTTCCAACTCTAGGCAGTGGAAGTCTGAGGTTTCCGGCTGATGTGGTCGCAGATAGCATGATCAAGTGTGTAAAGGAGTTTACTGATGATAATCCACAAACTTCACTGACTGAAATCCGAATAGTGATCTACAACCAAGCAGCCAGACCTGGAGCTTTACAAGCGGTATATCATTGTTAAATATCCGGTGCATAGTGTACTCATATTATTTATCATAGTGCGACCTGATGTATGAGTACAATGCTGTTAACTTATTGGTCGATTGCTATCTGGTAGAGACTTCTTAAAAAGCACTAATAAAACATTTTGTTCTCATATGGAAACCAAGAATTTCAGAAATTCGTCCCCAACCTTTTCTGGAAATTCTAAACACTTATCATTTCTGATCACTCCCAATTGTGGGTAATATTGACATCTGTGATGTCTTGTTTCCTTTCTGATCACTCCCAATTGTGGGTATTGTTTCCTTTCTGATCACTCCCAATTGTGGGTATTGTTTCCTTTACAAGTACCTTACTTGTAGATGTAAGTTTGTGTTTCTTATTCTTACATACATATTATATAAGTTCATTTATTTTAACAAATATCATGTTTTTGTTTTCTTCTATTTCAGGCTTTCAAAAAGGCATGTGACCCCTACATGTCATCAGGTGTGTACTGCAAACAGACTGGCTTTTTATTCGAGATACTGCAGTGTAAATTACTCAATACTCACATAAACTTACTGTTCTAGATTCAGATACTTATATTAAACGTGAATATTTCCCCATGGTTGAATAATCATCCAGGTGAGCGATACAGGCCCTCTGGGCATCTTGTTACTGTAGTGGAAATTACTCAATATTCACCAATGCTTACAGTTGATATTCAGAGACTGATCTGTTTAACATTTACAGATACACAAATGTCCACATGTACTAATTTACCTCTGTACTTATTGTAACGGCTAGACATCAAGCACCATTTATAAGGATTATAAACCTCCGGTCAGTTCGAATAGATGGATAGTTCAAACACACTTTTTGAACAATAAAAATAATAATTTTCTGTCTAGTGATAGTTCGAACCCTGCTTACACACGTTTCGGATTGTTCGAACACACAACTTGAGTACTGAACTTACGTAGTTATTGATCGAGGTTGGCTATCGGCCATGCAATAATAGCCTCGCGAAACTCGCTTAAACTTGACCTATTTGACCAATAAGACATCTGATCCTCCATTCTGATTTGTCTGAATACATTTTTCAAACCATTGTAATTTAAGCTGCACTGGTGAAATGATTGATGGTTTTCATTTATAGGTGCTTTCATCCCCTGATAGTGAATGGAGGACATTGTAAAAAGTGTTTGTCCATCCCTTTCCTCACTGTTTCTGTTCTTATGCTGTGGTATGGCTTCCGTTGTCTGTCTTTCAGTCGTCCATCTATTCTTTCCTTTAAAACTCTTCTAGTCCGTTATGGCTCAGTAGATTATGACCAAATTTGGTCTTGATCATATCCTTGGCTGAAGGGTTCTCAATTTTGTATACACAGTTAAAGGTCTCCCCTCCCCTGTGGGTAGAGGCCTAATAGGGAAGAAAGATGTAAATCTTTAAAAACCTCCTCCTTCTGTACCAATGGGAGGATTTCCAACCAAATTTGTTCCAGAGCATCTTTGGGCAAATGGGACTGAATATTATATAAACGGTGGGTGAGGCACTTCCTAAGGACACCAGAGGGATGGGGTCCTTTAGGGGAAAAAAATAATCTTGAATTGAGGGATTTTATCCCTATCCTATAACCAAGTACTTTGTATACAATTACTAAGCATGAAGAGAAGAAAACATTCATGCTACCAGGATTGGCCTTGGGGTCCAGATCCCCCCTGGGGACTATCCCCCTGGTTGTAACATGAAAACAGTTGAGATCCTCACCCAATGATAATATACAAAATTGCTGGGCATGAGCAATACACTCATGTCCTTGGTGCCTTATACATTCAAAAGGATTAAGTCCTTCTTGCAGCTTGCATTTCTTGCACTCCTTTGGTAAAATGGTATGGCATTCAGAATGTTTAAAATTGATAATAAAATACCAGGGGAGCTATTAAGCTTTTAAGATTGAGGATTGTGTTTTCATTAACTGGACATTCTATTTAACACTTTCTTTTCAATGGATTTTGGCAGCTTCAGTTTCTCCTCCAACACCCCATCCTAGGCATCAAGTTGAAGCTTCTTCTACTGCTGCAGGAACCACAGCAACTCCACCACCACTACCAAAGAAGCGTGGACCTCCACCAAAAGATACACAGGCGTATTTCAACTACATGTACGAGCAATCACCAGTGTCTCCATCTTACTGGACTAAATACGACAACAGTAAACCCCTTAAGATGTGGAACTTGACAGTCGCTCCTACCACTTCCAGCCATGCAGTTTATTTACCTGTTGATAGAAGCACATTCAAATCTATAGAAAATGTTGTGAAAAAATCCTGGGATGCAGCACATTTTGGACATGGAAATGATGCACAGGGTTTGTCCCAGCTTGGATACAGCAATATTCAAGTTACAAAAATTGAGCGTATAGAAAATCCAGTTCTGTTTGAAAAATATGCACAAAATCGGGCACATTTCTTTCGCAGGGCTGCTGGATTTGGAAAACCATTGACTCCAGTGGGGCAAATATCTGCAGGATCAAAAAGGCCTTTACTAACAACACAGCTGTGTGATGCTAACCTCAGGCGGGATATCTACCCGGAGATTAACGAGCATTACACATTTCATGGTACACCTGAAGATAGAGTAGCAGTCATCACCGCACAGGGGCTTGACAACAGGTTGGCTGGAAATACTGTCATTGGCCAGGGGGTGTACACGGCTGAGAGCTCCACTAAGTCTGACCAGTATGCAGGTATGTCACAATCTTGCCTTTCAGTCCGAGCCTCAATTCGACCCTAAGATAATAATACCTATACAATCTTTCAATGATATTTGTGCAAGCATTTCTTTTATCTATACACATTCCTTAAATGATACCTACCAGAATATAAAATCCTTTTCAATATCTATACGTTTCGATACGTCTCTATTGTAGAAATAGGACTGGGAACCTATGCAAAGCCTCGGTTTCTTCACCAGAATTTCCTTATCCCACAGTTTATATGACAAACTCTACTAAGGTATAGGTTCAATAAGTGCAATGTTTATCAGTAAAATTGCTGTCACTTTTAAACTTTCGAAGATATATCTATTTCACCCAGCAATACACTGTATATAGATCACTATGACCTCCCTTTAGATCAAAGGTCAAAATAGAACAAAGCCAAGATGAATATTGGCTAATAAACGGAGACATACATTACCTGTTTGTATTTATTAGGGCCCCGTATCGTAGATACGGGTGCCCTATAGTAATCACTCTGTCTGTCTGTCTGTCTGGCTGTCTGTCTGTCTGTCCGTCCACAAATTTTGTTCCTGGCTGATAACTTTGATATTTATTGACCGATGTACATGAAACTTGGTCAAGATGTTCAGTTCACAAAAATACTCATTGAGATAAAAATTCAAGGTCAAAGGTAAAGGTCATTAGGGTCAAAGGTCAAGGTCAAATTTTACATCTTTTCACTGATGAACATTTTGTTATGACATTATGAGGCAAAGTTGATCAGAATTAAACAAGGAGTCAACTGACCAAAGGTCAAGGTCATCGGGTCAGGGGTCAAGGTCAAATTTTGTAGCTTTTCACTGGTGAACATTTCGCTATGACATTATGTAGCAAAGTTGTTCGGAATAAACAAAGAGACACACTCAGGTAAGAAGTCAAGATCAAAGGTCAAGGTCATTAGGTTCAAAGCTCAAGGTCAAATTTTACATCTTTTCACTGATGAACATTTTATGACATTATGAAGCAAAGTTGATCAGAATTAAACAAGGAGTCAACTGACCAAAGGTCAAGGTTATTGGATCAAAGGTCAAGGTTAAATTTTGTATCTTTTCACTGGTGAACATTTCGCCATGACACTTTGAAGCAATGTAGCTCAGAATTAAACAAGGAGTCAATTGACCAAATGTCAAGGTCACTGGGTCAAAGGTGAAGGTCACTGGGTCAAAGGTGAAGGTTAAATTTTGTACCTTTTCTCTGATGAACATTTTGTGATGACATGATGAAGCAATGTTGTTCAGAACTTAACACAGTGTCAACTGACCTTAGGTCCAGGTTACTGGGTCCAAAGGGTCAAGGTCAAGTTTTGTATTTTTCACTGATGAACATTTTGTTATGATATTAAGAAGCAAAGTTGGTCGGAATTAAAGAATAAGTCAACTGACAAAAGATCAGGGTCACTGGGTTAATGGTCAAGGTCATTTGGGTCCAAAGGTCAAAGACAAAGTGGATCTCTGACTTTGACCCTGGCTCTTGATGGAGAAGGTATATAAGGTGAAATAAAACAAATCAAAGCTAACAAATAAGAATTGCACTGGTATTTACATTTCTGTTAGCCGAGCAAATATGGAGGTGGAAGGAAACAAGACTCACATCATAGTACATGTAAAATGTATATTTTGCTTCCTTGCGATTCTTTTTGAAGTCCAAATGTCAAACGTCAAGCTCAGCTACTATATGAGCAGATTGCTTCTTGATGATTATGGGGTATATATTGCCACAAGACGGGGCCCTTACTGACCTGTCAGTGTTAAAGTTAATTATTATTTGTAACAAGGACAGTGCTTGGATCATGATGCAAACACCTGATCTGCAAAAACCAATTGCCTGGTATAACACCTGTAATAACAGAGAGTGGTTAGAGATATGTTTTCGGGCAGTCAATAATATTGTTAGAAATAAAAGATACTTCATTAATGGAAATGTTCACAATGTTACTCTTCAAGCTGATGGCAGTGTGGAATTTTTTGCATTGCAATAGTTCTGAAACCTTTATCTTATATATCTAACGTTTGGATGTTCTCATGGTAATTTACTCAGCACTAAAAATGCAGACATCTTAATACCGCGAAAGTTTACACTTTTGCTGTAAAAATTAATAAAATCATTTGATTAAGGTAAGAAATACCACAGGTCTATTTATAGGTCTTTTTTGCTAGTTAGACCTAGCATGCACATATAGTCTATTCATTTTTGTGGTCCATTTCATTATTTTTAGGTCACCTGAGCTTTGCTCAAGTGACCTATTCCAATCGCTTTCCGTCTGTCGTCGTCCGTCGTGCGTCGTGCATAAACTTTTACATTAACAACTTCTTCTCAAGAACCAGTGGATGTAATTTTTTCAAACTTGGTCAGAATCATCCTTGGAGGAGGAAGATGGTTTTAAATTGTAAAATTAGGATTCCTACCCCAACCCTAGGGGCCAGGGCGGGGCCCAAAAGGGAAAATTAACCAATATTTCAAAATCTTCTTCTCCAGACTCGGAGGTATTACAGTCATTTTCTCTGCATGGATGGAAAGATCATCAGGGGCTTTATTTAAATTGTAAATTTCAGGCCCCCCGAGCTATCCGTTCTCCCTTGGGGAGGGGGTGAAGTTTACTATAGTTTATACCTGAGCTTTGCTCAAGTGGCCTATTCCAATCGCTTTCCGTCTGTCGTCGTCCGTCGTGCGTCTTGCATAAACTTTTACATTATCACCTTCTTCTCAAGAACCAGTGGATGGAATTTTTTCAAACTTGGTCAGAACCATCCTTGGTAGATGAGGCTACCAAATTGTAAAATTGGGATTCTTACTCCAACCCGAGGGGCCAGGGCCGGGCCCAAAAGGGAAAATTAACCAATATTTCAAAAATTTTCTTCTCCAGACTCAGAGGTATTACAGTTATTTTCTCTGCATGGATGGAAAGATCATCAGGGGCTTTATTTAAATTGTAAATTTCAGGCCCCCCGAGCTATCCGTTCTCCCTTGGGGAGGGGGTTAAGTTTACTATAGTTTATACCTGAGCTTTGCTCAAGTGGCCTATTCCAATCGCTTTCCGTCTATCGTCGTCCGTCGTGCGTCGTGCATAATCTTTTACATTATCAACTTCTTCTCACGAACCAGTGGATGGAATTTTTTCAAACTTGGTCAGAATCATCCTTGGTAGATGAGGCTACCAAATTGTAAAATTGGGATTCATACCCCAACCCTAAGGGCCAGGGCAGGGCCCAAAAGGGAAAATTAACCAATATTTCAAAATCTTCTTCTCCAGACTCAGAGGTATTACAGTCATTTTCTCTGCATGGATAGAAAGATCACCAGGGGCTTTATTTAAATTGTAAATTTCAGGACCCCCAAACTATCCGTTCTCCCTTGGGGAGGGGGTAAAGTTTACTATAGTTTATACCTGAGCTTTGCTCAAGTGACCTATTCCAATCGCTTTCCGTCTATCGTCGTCCGTCGTGCGTCGTGCATAAACTTGTACATTATCAACTTCTTCTCAAGAACCAGTGGATGTAATTTTTTCAAACTTGGTCAGAACCATCCTTGGTAGATGAGGCTACCAAATTGTAAAATTGGGATTCCTACCCCAACCCTAGGGGCCAGGGCGGGGCCCAAAAGGGAAAATTAACCAATATTTCAAAAATTCTCTTCTCCAGACTCAGAGGTATTACAGTCATTTTCTCTGCATGGATGGAAAGATCATCAGGGGCTTTATTTAAATTGTAAATTTCAGGACCCCCGAGCTATCCGGTCTCCCTTGGGGAGGGGGTAAAGTTTACTATAGTTTATATAGGGAAACGACACTTTTGGGTATATTTTGACAATTTTCTGTTGGAAATTATTTTTACTTGGTCAGAATCATCTTTGGTGGATGAAGGTATCAAATTGTAAACTTGGAATTCCTACCCCATCCCCAGAGGTTAGAGCGGGGCCCCAAAGGGAACATTTACAAATATTTTAAAATTCTTATCCTTTGATGACATGACAAGTATTGTATTTCACTTAGTTTACATGCTGATTTCCACATCACATCTAAACAATAAAATAAAGCTACCAGTACCTATGATATAACTCAGGTGACCGCTAAGGCCCTTGGGCCTCTTGTCTTCTACAAACCCAGATCTTTACCTTTAGTCCAATCTGAGTGTCTTCTCTTCTACCTCTACTACAAACCCAGATAGCTACCTTTAGTCCAACCAGTGTCTTCTCTCCTATCTCTACTACAAACCCAGATAGCTTCCTTTAGTCCAATCAGTATCTTCTCCTCTATCACTACAACAAACCCAGATCGCTACCTTTAGTCCAACCAGTGTCTTCTCTCCTATCTCTACTACAAACCCAGATCGCGACCTTTAGTCAAATCAGTGTCTTCTCCTATATCACTACAACAAACCCAGATCGCTACCTCTAGTCCAACCAGTGTCTTCTCTCCTATCTCTACTACAAACCCAAATAGCTTCCTTTAGTCCAATCAGTGTCTTCTCTCCTATCTCCACAAACCTAAATCTCTACCTTTAGTCCAATCAGTGTCTTCTCTCCTATTTCTACTACAAACCCAGATCGCTACCTTTAGTCAAATCAGTGTCTTCTCCTCTATCACTACAACAAACCCAGATCTCTGCCTTTAGTCCAACCAGTGTCTTCTCTCCTATCGCCACAAACCTAAATCTCTACCTTTAGTCCAGTCAGTGTCTTCTCTCCTATTTCTACTACAAACCCAGATCGCTACCATTAGTCAAATCAGTGTCTTCTCCTCTATCTCTACAACAATCCCAGATCTCTGCCTTTAGTCCAACCAGTGTCTTCTCTCCTATCGCCACAAACCTAAATCTCTACCTTTAGTCCAGTCAGTGTCTTCTCTCCTATTTCTACTACAAACCCAGATCGCTACCATTAGTCAAATCAGTGTCTTCTCCTCTATCACTACAACAAACCCAGATCTCTGCCTTTAGTCCAATCAGTGTCTTCTCTCCTATCTCCACCAACCTAAATCTCTACCTTTAGTCCAACCAGTGTCTTCTCTCCTATCTCTACAAACCTAAATCTCTGCCTTTAGTCCAACCAGTGTCTTCTCTCCTATCTCTTCAAACCTAAATCTCTACCTTTAGTCCAATCAGTGTCTTCTCTCCTATCTCCACAAACCTAAATCTCTACCTTTAGTCCAACCAGTGTCTTCTCTCCTATCTCCACAAACCTAAATCTCTACCTTTAGTCCAATCAGTGTCTTCTCTCCTATCTCCACAAACCTAAATCTCTACCTTTAATCCAATCAGTGTCTTCTCTCCTATCTCAACAAACCTAAATCTCTACCTTTAGTCCAATCAGTTTCTTATCTCCTATCTCTACTACAAACCCAGATCACTACCTTTAGTCCAATCAGTGTCTTCTCTCCTATCTCCACGAACCTTAATATCTACCTTTAGTCCAATCAGTGTCTTCTCTACTATCTCCACAAACCTAAATCTCTACCTTTAGTCCAATCAGTGTCCTCTCTCCTACCTCTACTACAAACCCAGATAGCTACCTTTAGTCCAACCAGTGTCTTCTCTCCTATCTCTACTACAAACCTAAATCTCTACCTTTAGTCCAATCAGGGTCTTCTCTCCTATCTCCACAAACCTAAATATCTACCTTTAGCCCAATCAGTGTCTTCTCTACTATCTCCACAATCCTAAATCTCTACCTTTAGTCCAATCAGTGTCTTCTCCCCTACCTCTACTACAAACCCAGATAGCTACCTTTAGTCCAAGCAGTGTCTTCTCTCCTACCTCTACTACAAACCCAGATAGCTACCTTTAGTCCAATCAGTGTCCTCTCTCCTACCTCTACTACAAACCCAGATAGCTACCTTTAGTCCAACCAGTGTCTTCTCTCCTATCTCCACCAACCTAAATCTCTACCTTTAGTCCAATCAGTGTCTTCTCCCCTATCTCCACAAACCTTAATATCTACCTTTAATCCAACCAGTGTCTTCTCTCCTATCTCCACAAAACTTAATATCTACCTTTAATCCAACCAGTGTCTTCTCTCCTATCTCCACAACCCTAAATCTCTACCTTTAGTCCAATCAGTGTCTTCTCTCCGATCTCCACAAACCTAAATCTCTACCTTTAGTCAAATCAGTGTCTTCTCTCCTATCTCCACAAACCAAAATTTCTACCTTTAGTCCAACCAGTGTCTTCTCTCCTATCTCTACTACAAACCCAGATCTCTACATTTAGTCCAATCAGTGTCTTCTCTCCTATCTCTACTACAACCCCAGATCGCTACCTTTAGTCCAATCAGTGTCTTCTCTCCTATCTACACAAACCTAAATATCTACCTTTAGTCCAACCAGTGTCTTCTCTACTATCTCCACAAACCTAGATCTCTACCTTTAGTCCAATCAGTGTCTTCTCTCCGATCTCCACAAACCTAAATCTCTACCTTTAGTCCAATCAGGGTCTTCTCTCCTATCTCCACAAACCTAAATATCTACCTTTAGCCCAACCCGTGTCTTCTCTCCTATCTCCACAAACCTTAATATCTATCTTAAGTCCAATCAGTGTCTTCTCTCCTATCTCCACAAACCAAAATCTCTACCTTTAATCCAACCAGTGTCTTCTCTCCTATCTCCACAACCCTAAATCTCTACCTTTAGTCCAATCAGTGTCTTCTCTACTATCTCCACGAACCTAAATCTCTACCTTTAGTCCAATCAGTGTCTTCTCTCCTATATCCACAAACCAAAATCTCTACCTTTAGTCCAATCAGTGTCTTCTCTACTATCTCCATAAACCTAAATCTCTTCCTTTAGTCCAATCAGTGTCTTCTCCCCTATCTCCACAAACCTTAATATCTACCTTTAGTCCAATCAGTATCTTCTCTACTATCTCCACAAACCTAAATCTTTACCTTTAGTCCAATCAGTGTCTTCTCTCCTGTCTCCACAAACCTTAATATCTATCTTAAGTCCAATCAGTGTCTTCTCTCCTATCTCCACGAACCTTAATATCTACCTTTAGCCCAATCAGTGTCTTCTCTCCTGTCTCCACAAACCTAAATCTCTACCTTTAGTCAAATCAGTGTCTTCTCTCCTATCTCCACAAACCAAAATTTCTACCTTTAGTCCAACCAGTGTCTTCTCTCCTATCTCCACAACCCTAAATCTCTACCTTTAGTCCAATCAGTGTCCTCTCTCCTACCTCTACTACAAACCCAGATAGCTACCTTTAGTCCAAGCAGTGTCTTCTCTCCTACCTCTACTACAAACCCAGATAGCTACCTTTAGTCCAACCAGTGTCTTCTCTCCTATCTCTACTACAAACCCAGATCTCTACATTTAGTCCAATCAGTGTCTTCTCTCCTATCTCCCCGAACCTTAATATCTACCTTTAGTCCAATCAGTATCTTCTCTACTATCTCCACAAACCTAAATCTCTACCTTTAGTCAAATCAGTGTCTTCTCTCCTATCTCCACAAACCTAAATATCTACCTTTCGCCCAACCAGAGTCTTCTCTCCTATCTCCACAAACCTTAATATCTATCTTAAGTCCAATCAGTGTCTTCTCTCCTATCTCCACGAACCTTAATATCTACCTTTAGCCCAATCAGTGTCTTCTCTACTATCTCCACAATCCTAAATCTCTACCTTTAGTCCAATCAGTGTCCTCTCTCCTACCTCTACTACAAACCCAGATAGCTACCTTTAGTCCAACCAGTGTCTTCTCTCCTATCTCCACCAACCTAAATCTCTACCTTTAGTCCAATCAGTGTCTTCTCCCCTACCTCTACTACAAACCCAGATAGCTACCTTTAGTCCAATCAGTGTCCTCTCTCCTACCTCTACTACAAACCCAGATAGCTACCTTTAGTCCAAGCAGTGTCTTCTCTCCTACCTCTACTACAAACCCAGATAGCTACCTTTAGTCCAAGCAGTGTCTTCTCTCCTACCTCTACTACAAACCCAGATAGCTACCTTTAGTCCAATCAGTGTCCTCTCTCCTACCTCTACTACAAACCCAGATAGCTACCTTTAGTCCAATCAGTGTCCTCTCTCCTACCTCTACTACAAACCCAGATAGCTACCTTTAGTCCAATCAGTGTCTTCTCTCCGATCTCCACAAACCTAAATCTCTACCTTTAGTCCAATCAGGGTCTTCTCTCCTATCTCCACAAACCTAAATATCTACCTTTAGCCCAACCAGTGTCTTCTCTCCTATCTCCACAAACCTTAATATCTACCTTTAATCCAACCAGTGTCTTCTCTCCTATCTCCACAAACCTAAATCTCTACCTTTAGTCCTATCAGTGTCTTCTCTCCAATCTCCACAAACCAAAATCTCTGCCTTTAGTCCAATCAGGGTCTTCTCTCCTATCGCCACAAACCTAAATATCTACCTTTGGCCCAATCAGTGTCTTCTCTCCCACCTCTACTACAAACCCAGATAGCTACCTTTAGTCCAACCAGTGTCTTCTCTCCTATCTCCACAAACCTAAAACTCTACCTTCAGTTCCATTTTTCATGTATGATCTTCTGTCCTTTCTACCTATCAGTTGTACATAAAACAACAATTCACAATAAGCAAATTAACTAACTTCCATTTCTGTCGGTCAGATAATTATTAAGAGTGGGACAGCCTTCATGAGATGGACAGCCATCAGGTGGTTAGAATAGTCCTAAAATTCAAATGGTATTTCCCATTATTCAAACATATTAAGATACATATCAATTTTGAAAATGCAAATTCAAGACTTCCCAGAACAACTTTCTTCCATTTGACAAAAATCAACACTTTGCAAATTCAAAGCTGTATGCATCTACATGATATTCATTTAAATTTCTGATTACAGATTGTGTTGGGAGGCGTGACAAGACGAAGGATAAAAAGATGTTCCTGACCCGGATGTGCCTTGGAGATCCCTTTATTTTGAATAAAAAACCAACATCAGTTTTCAAACGTCCTCCATGTAAAACATGCAAGAAGGACATTTGTGCTGATCTGTCACACGCTGGAAATTTTGATTCTATTCTTGTTGAGGACTTCTGGATCTTTCGAGAATTTATTGTGTTTGAAAAAGACCGGTGTTATCCAGAATATCTGATAACCTATAAAAGAGTGTAATGAAAGATTGTTAATTTACAACAATAACTTCCAACTATTTAAGTTTGATTAATGAGGAGACTTGATTGTTAATTCTCACTACAGGTATTTGTTACAATCAAGTTTTGTTTTCCCAGCTACCAATTGGCCGAAATTTCTTTTATAAAAAAACTTTTCCTAGTTGCTCTAGTCATCTCATAATCAAGCTGCATTCACCGGTAATGCAGGTAGCTGGGTTATCTACTGGAAACAGATGGTTAGATTATCTGTTGGAAATAGGTGGCTTGATTATCTACTGGGAACAGAGGTAGCTGGATTATCTATTGGGAACAGAGGTAGCTTGATTATCTACTGGGAACAGAGGTAGCTGGATTATCTACTGGGAACAGAGGTAGCTGGATTATCTACTGGGAACAGAGGTAGCTGGATTATCTACTGGGAACAGAGGTAGCTTGATTATCTACTGGGAACAGAGGTAGCTTGATTATCTACTGGGAACAGAGGTAGCTTGATTATCTACTGGGAACAGAGGTAGCTTGATTATCTACTGGGAACAGAGGTAGCTTGATTATCTACTGGGAACAGAGGTAGCTTGATTATCTACTGGGAACAGAGGTAGCTTGATTATCTACTGGGAACAGAGGTAGCTTGATTATCTACTGGGAACAGAGGTAGCTTGATTATCTACTGGGAACAGAGGTAGCTTGATTATCTACTGGGAACAGAGGTAGCTTGATTATCTACTGGGAACAGAGGTAGCTTGATTATTTACTGGGAAAGGAGGTAGCTTGATTATCTACTGGGAACAGAGGTAGCTTGATTATCTACTGGGAACGGAGGTAGCTTGATCATCTACTGGGAACAGAGGTAGCTGGATTATCTACTGGGAACAGAGGTAGCTTGATTATCTACTGGGAACAGAGGTAGCTGGATTATCTACTGGGAACAGAGGTAGCTTGATTATCTACTGGGAACAGAGGTAGCTTGATTATCTACTGGGAACAGAGGTAGCTTGATTATCTATTGGGAACAGAGGTAGCTTGATTATCTATTGGGAACAGAGGTAGCTTGATTATCTATTGGGAACAGAGGTTGCTGGGTTATCTATTGGGAACGGAGGAAGCTAGATTATCTACTGGGAACAGAGGTAGCTTGATTATCTACTGGGAACAGAGGTAGCTTGATTATCTATTGGGAACAGAGGTAGCTTGATTATCTATTGGGAACAGAGGTAGCTTAATTATCTATTGGGGGGAACAGAGGTAGCTTGATTATCTACTGGGAACAGAGGTAGCTTGATTATCTACTGGGAACAGAGGTAGCTGGATTATCTATTGGGAACAGAGGTAGCTTGGTTATCTATTGGGAACAGAGGTAGCTTGATTATCTACTGGGAACAGAGGTAGTTGGATTATCTATTGGGAACGGAGGTAGCTTGATTATCTACTGGGAACAGAGGTAGCTTGATTATCTACTGGGAACAGAGGTAGCTGGATTATCTACTGGGAACAGAGGTAGCTGGATTATTTATTGGGAACAGAGGTAGCTGGAGTATATACTGAAAACAGAAATGGATGAATTATTTCAGCTCCACAGATAAATTGCCCCGTAAATAAAGTGCTATTTATAATATCCACATGTAGTACTGTGCATCGTGTAATGTCCTTTTTATGAATTCATACTGAATTCTTTGGTGCACTTTTTATGAAAATCAGTACCAAGTACCTGTAAAAAAACAACGTTTATTTACTGCATTAGAAAGTCATACTGAAAACAGGTTGTCAACCATATATTTGTGTTGTGAAATTGATCACTGAGTTTCAGTGTTGCTATAGAGGAAACTGTTCTTGTTTTTTCACATGCTTTATATTATTTTTTCAGAAAACGTGTTAATAACTTTACTTTATTTGGAGAAAATAATGTACATGTACATGCATACCCCCAGGTTAACTAAGTAAGATACCTGGTAAGTTAAAACACTTTCTTCAAGCAATTTTATTATATACATGTACATATATATTCATGTGTAGATATCATTATCAGAGGAAAAGATAAAGGGGATAATTTTCACCGAGTTATTTTTACAAAGGGGAACAATCCATTGACATCGCTAGCTTTTAGGTAGCTAGTGATAGGTAATATGGGCTGATAAAACCGGTCTTCAACTTAAGTTTCCAAATTCATTTGGAAGAAAAATCAGACCGGTTATGTCAGCCTATATAAGCTTCCTAAAACCAATGTAACAAATCCCTCATTACTGCAAATTCCAGCAACAATTTTAAGTAAAATATGGATTTTTTTTAATTATGAGACAAATCTATTCATTATTTTCCGTAGCACATGAACTTCCGTCTTGTCACATTAAAATGTATATTCTGTCTGAGATGAGTGCGGCAAGTTTTTTTTTTAGGACAGAGATTGACATGTTTATTCGCAGGATGATATATACAGGGTGAGTGGCATTTTTTACAGGTGGATATATATACATGACGTGTGGCATTTTATACAGGTGGTTATTTCATCATCTACTGTCTCTGACAAAGTTTTCGGAGAGAATTAAGAACACATGCAGTATACATGCCAATCTTTCAGACTGAATTACAAGATCTCAAAATATCTAAAAGTATTGACAATAACCGTTATTACACAAAATAAAAGTGTAACATGACATAGCTATTCTATGCAATGACCTAATGGAAATGAGCAGATTTCAAAGTAAGACAAAACTGTGTATGATACATGTAGTCTAATTATATATATAGATAATCTGCCTCCAAAATAGGAAGACTTGGCAAGTATATAATACACATGATGTAATATTTAGCATCCAAACTCCACTTGGCAATAAATGTACAGCGTACAAATCTGTGTCTTTACATCTCCACATTTCCGCCCCAGAAATTCCTTGATTTGGTCGTGCTGGTGGTTAGCACTTATGTCCTTTGCTAGCAAGGTGTCTCGGTACTTTTTGTGTGTGAAAAAAGTGTCTAGGGAAACAGACTTATAGGGGATAAAAGGTGTATCGTTTATGTATCTCATATATAGAAAAATGTTTAAAATGCAAGTAAATCACAATGTAATCTGCACCTTGATATCTAATACAGTGAAAATGTGTCGGCAAAATGAAACTTCTTCTATTGTCAATACATTTTTATATAAATATTTGTAGATATCTAGATACACTCCGTTTATGACATCACAAATAAATTGAAATCGCCTGAAGAGCCCAGAGATGGGCGAAAGCGCTAGCGAAATGTAGTATTGGTGTTTTTTTATATACTGGTGTACTGCTATATATATATTTATGCCTACTCCACATAAAACTCAACACATGTATAGAATTGAATAAGGCCATCATAAGATGACAATTTATTATAATGACATAATGACACAAACTATGAAAATGATGTTTATTGTCAATTTACATCCTTAGGTGGGGATTCGACAGAATTACGCCACACCAACACACATATATATAAATCACAAACAAACAATATTAAAAAGGGTGGCATGTAAGGGTGGGTTTTTCAATAAGGCAAATTTGGTATAAATTTCTAAAAAGATGCTGCCACAAAATGGCGCCGTTGAAAATTTTCTTAAATATGAAGAAAGAGGCCTACAGCCAATCAGATTGTAGCGTGGGATGTCAGCCAATCAGAAACCTCAAAACAATGGAGGCACCAAGAAGGGGGGGAGCGGCACCCTAAGGGGGCTATGTTTGTAGCAACCTTTTAACAATACTTGTCAAACAGTCTAATGCAGGGTTTATGTGTCGCGACATAAAATCAGCTATGTATATAACTTGCAT